CGCTCCTCGCTTCCCACTCTTTCTCTCTGACCTCTCGTCCTCTCTCTCTCTCGTCTTTCTCTGTTCTTTATTGTTTCGCTGATATAATGCCAAGCTAATTCTTTTCCGTAACTATATATCGCACTATTTTAAGTACGATCGTACCTGTGTTATCGAATACCTCTATAGAACGGCCAACTGTCTGTGAAGGACACCAATGTTTTCCCTTTGATGACCCTTACACATAGGTTTGGCTGCAGGCTGCACTTTACATAATCAATGTGTACACAAGAGAGAACTCAGAAGACGTATTAATGACCATAATAATTTTGCAATTACATTAATATCAACAACATTCTCGCTTCTCCTTTAAATTAAATTTAATCATATTCTATGTGAGCATGTGGGAATTTAGAAACCCTCTGATAGAGATAGACACACACGCAGCAACAGCAACTATAATAATTTCGCAATCACATTAATAACAACAGCATACTCGCGCTTCTATTTTGAATTTCATTTGATCCGATTCTATGCGATCGTGTGGGAATTCACGAATCCTCCTGAGTTTTCTCTAGTTTGCTCTCACCTTATCAAATCACTGCCAACACTCAGTCATCTGTTACAATCAGCAATAATCCTTAAATTAATTACGTCTCCGTAAATAGTAAAAGTAAAAAAAATATTTCCACTTTTTCACAGAATGTAAGTAATTCTGTTTACTTTTTATGGCTAAATTGCTGCATTATACTTCCTATTTTGTTATATTGTTCGATGTGAACATACACTCGTGACTCATACATAGCCCATAGCAAGCAATTAATGTCAGGATCGTAATATCAAATCGTCCAGGTTTGTTTTTTTTTCACTATAGTTGAGAAACAATCTTATCAGGTAAGAATTGGACGATACATTTAGTCCCGTTAGTACTTACTTTTAATGTAAAAAAAATGGCGACAAAATTTTTACAAATATCCGTACATGGAAAATTCGTGACGTAGTCGATTTAATGGTGAACTGCGCAGATTCTGTACTCGAAGGAGAGGGAAAAAAACAATTCAATTCTCCCCCGCGCTGCTTCCTTGTACGGGGAAACATGAGTAAGTAGGATGGATACTTCCCCTCCATGCCCTGATGCAGTATTATTATTATTATTATTATTATTATTATTATTATTATTATTATTATTATTATTATTATTATTCACAGTAAGTTGGAGGAGCTACTGGGAATCTATGTACTGCTGCTGCTGCGCTGCTGCTGCTGTGCTGCTGCGCTGCTCGCTGCTGCTATTACTACTACTACTACTGCTGCTGCTGCTACTGCTGCTTGCTGCTGGCTACTGCTGCTGCTACTGCTACAGTTACTGTTACTGCTGCTGCTGCTGCGCTGCTGCTGCTGTTACTGCTGCTGCTGCTGGCCTATTACTGCTGCTGCTGCTGGCTGTGGTGGTGCTGCTACTGGCTGCTGCTGCTGGCTACTGCTGCTGCTGCTGCTGCGTGCTGCTGCTACTGCTGTTACTGCTGTTACTGCTGCTGGCTACTGCTGCTGCTGTACTGCTGGCTGCTGCTATTACTGCTGCTGCTGCTGCTGGTGGTGGTGCTGCCTACTGCTGGCTGCTGGCTGCTACTTGCTGCTGCTGCTGGCTAACTGCTGTTTACTGCTGCTGGCTGATCTGTATACTGCTGGCGGCTGATGCTGTTAGCTGTGCTGCGCTATTACTGGCTGCTGCTGCTGGTGGTGGTGCTGCTACTGCTGCTGCTGCTGGCTACTGCTGTTTACTGCTGTTACTGCTAGCTGCTACTGCTGCTTGGCTGCTGATGCTGTTACTGCTGTACTGCTGTTACTGCTGCTACTGCTGCTGTTACTGCTGCTGCTGCTGCTGTTAGCTGCTGTTACTGCTGCTGCTGCTGCTACCGCTACCTCTACCAATACCGCTACCGCTACCACGCCGCTACAGATGCGCGCTCTCACTCGACCGCGACTCAACCGATGTTTCGAGGCGGTTGGATTCGAGCAGCGAGATGGTTCTTCTTCTTTCGTTCTCAGGAGGCTCTCATCGCTCGCAGACTTCTCCCTGTCCGCAGCCTCCGCTCAGCTTAAACGTGTCCTCAAACTCATCAAAGTTGATGACCTGTAGAGGGGAGAGGTTAGGAGGTCAGCATCGAGAGAGAGAAAGAGAGAGAGAGAGAGAGCGAGCGAGCGAAGCGATGCAAAGAAAGAGAAAGAGAGAGAGAGAGAGAGAGAGAGAAAGAGAGAGCGGAGAGCGAGAGAGAGAGAGAGAGAGAGAGAGAGAGAAAGAGAGAGAGAGAGAGAGAAAGAAAGCGAGAGAGAGAGAAGAGAGAGAGAGAGAGAGAAAGAGAAAGAGCGAGAGAGAGAGAGACAGAGGAGAGAGAGAGCAGAGAAGAGGGAGAGAGACGAACCCAGACAGGAGGAGAGAGAGCACAGAAGAGCAAT